GGCGCCTGACCTATATAAACAAGACAAGCACACTGGTTTAATATACGGTCTCATTGGTTCAATTTCTCGTTACTTAGTCGTTAATCTCTCTATTTCGTTCCTTCATTTCCTTTATGTTTATTATGCGAATGCGCATGAAAACCACGTGAAAACTATGTAAACAGAGGCCCAATAGTCTGAAACATAGACAGAAAAACAGATTGAATCTGCTCTGTTGGCCACATGTGCGGTGGCCTTGGCCGCACGAGCGGTGGTGAAGCAGTGTGCATTTTTGGGCAAAGAAGGGTCGGCCACTCGTGCGGTGACCCGTGCCGCTCAAGTGGTCTGGGTGAAAATCAGTTCGAAAATTCTACTGAACATGGAACTCTCTCCCTTTCAAACCCAAACTCAATTTTATGAAAATCAAGGTCCAAAATGCATAAAAAAAAACTTGAATTCACCATATCTAACTTCATTATAAACCATAATCTAATTCATTCTTAAGTTATCAAAGGAAAAATCAATTACATAAATGAAAAACATGTAAGTCAGAAATGGGGGTTAAGTTCCAATTCATGGAGTTTCCTCCATTTTGCTCATAAATCATGCAAAAACAAGTGGTAAAACATGAAGAATGCCATCGAGATTCACATCTTGAACTAGTTCCTATATTTTCCTCCTTAGTGTTCATACCAACAATTTACACCACTCTACTTCTTGATTCAACTTAGATTTTATAATTCCATGAAGAAGACAACCCAAATTCAGGAGATTTATGGAAACTTTCTTACCTTTCTTGGAATTTTGGTGAAGATTGCTCAATTTCCCCTTCTTCCTTCTTGTCCTAGAGTTTCTCCCATTTTTCTCTTCTTTTTTGTTCTAAACTTCTCCCTAGTCTCTCTAAAAATATCTAACTCTAGCTTTCTCTTATTTGAGCACTAATACATTCTAATTAATCTTAAATTAGCTTAAGAAAGGATATGCTCTTAATTAGTATAACACATCATCTCAATTTGCACTAAATCTAACCATACTATAGTGATCCAGGCTCTAATTGCCTATCACAAATAGTTAATTTTAATCTTATGATTTACTGATTCAGACAAGTTCATTACCCATGGCACAAATAACACATGACACATATAACACATGACATATAAGTTGGCGTAATAAACACATAATTAAGACAAATCACATAAGTAAGCAATTAATTAAGGAAGTGGATGTTACAATAATTACCAACAAAAACCTTCAAAGGCTATTGAACACAAAAATACAGATGAATTGGTAATGACAGTCGAAAGAACGATGAGAGTGGCAACATTGGTACAAGTTTTCGGCGGAGGGGTAGTGGCTAGTCAACAATGAATGAAGAAGATAAGAATTAGAGGGTTAGGATTAAGGTTAGGGTTAGGGTTAGGGTTTGAATAGGGAAAAAGATAAAGGTAATTTTGATAAGGTAGGATGTGTACCAATAAATAAATTTTCAAATTAATTAAGGTGGTGTTTGACAAAGTTGAAAACTAAAAATTGAAAATTGAAAATTGAAAATTAAGTATTTAAAAATGAATGTTAAATTTTTGAAGTTAAAAAGCTATTTGATATAAAAATTTAAGTGCTAAACTAAAAATAAATTATTTGATATATATAAGATTAAATTTAAAATTTATTATTTTTAAAATTGTATATTTTTATTTTTACATTGTGATGGCGGTGGTAGTGGTGGTAGTGGTAATGATATGATGATTGTAGTGAAGACATGGTGGTGGTGGTGGTGGTGGTGGTGGTGGTAGCGGTAACGATGGCAGTGATAGTAATGGTGGCGGTGATGGTGGTGGTGGTGGTGTGGCATGATGGTGGTATCAATGGGGTGGTGGTAGCGGTAGCGATGGTAGTGGTAGTAGTACCGATAGCATGATGGTGATGATTGTGGTGGTGAGTTTACAATAGTATATATCGATATCGATATTTATATTTGATATTTATAAATTTAGTTAGAATTAAGTAAGTTTCGTATGATTTAAATTTTTTTAAAATTTTAGCTTATATTTTAAGAGATACTTAAAATTTTCAAGTAATATCGTTTGTGGAAATCAAACAGGCTTAGTTCATTCAGTTTTAAGTGCTAAACCATGTTATCAAACATCTCCTAAGTATGTGTCTTGAAAAAAGATGTGCATTGAGAGAATTTTGACATGTGAAAATAGAATTATCCAAATAAATACACTTATCAAATAAGTGTTGTGTGGGTGAAAATCTGACCACACTGCCCGTCTAGTAATCAGCTGGAGAGCACAAGCAGAATAGATGGCTTAAGCAACCTGAAACAGAAAGAAAAAGCTCCGGCGGTGGTTCTTCCACCCGGGGACACTCCGACGATCAAGTCAGTATATCTCTCAAAGATAATCAAGTACTAAACTGAATACTCAAAGTATAAATTACATACCTTAGACCCACGGGGGTGTCTCTCTTTTATAATATACTCAATCCAAGTCCTACTAGAAGTATGACTTCTATGAACTCTAGTTCACTGCTTACTTTGGACTCTTTTAAGTGATAAAGATAAACTCCATAAGAGCTTTATCCTTATCTTGGTTAAGTCCCCTTTTTGTCTTAGGACTCTTGTCCCTTATCTGCTTATCTCGGATTCCGATATCTTCGGGGATAACCTCGGCAACTCCGAGATCATCTCAGCTTAACTATGACGACACGTGGCACCTCGGCTGACACGTAGGCGTCACCATGCCACGTGCGTGTTGGTATTCAGAAAATATATCCCCACAACTGCCCCCTAGGTTCTATTACCTCGGCATTCTAAGGTGATGGAACCTATTCCGAAATTTTGTCACTTCTTTTCTGAGTAATGGCTCAAAAACTATTTGGCCCAGATTATTTACTTTCAACCGACGTGTTCTCTTCGGAGAACAAGGCTTCGGTCGTACTCTCCCATGCGTATGAACTGTCATGCATATCTAACTGTTTCTTTTACGTGTTTCGCCTTTATTGGAGCGTGCCAGTGACGCGCCTGAAGCTATCTGTTCATTTCGTCTGCGCCGCCTGACGCGTGCGTTACCCTAGGCGTAATGATTACCCTAATTTTGCCGCCGTTTCACATTTTTGACAAAACTTTTCTTTTGCCTCTATCTTTTCTTCACTTTTTCATTCCGTCTTCTTGCTCTTTCTCTCTCTGAAAGCTCATTCTTCTTCGAATCTGCCATCGCCTCAATCTCTCTTCTGGATTTGCTTTTAACCCCTCATTCTTGCAAAGCCTTCTTTTGCTGTTGCAAATAATTTCTGGGTTCGGCGAGCATTGCCTTGGCTTCATTTGTCCTGGTAAGACCCTTTCCTTTAATTCTTCCATTCTCTTTATGTGCTTTTGTCTGTCTGTTGCCATTACTGATCTTGTTCGAGGTCTTGGATTTATTCGTATCTTGAATTTGTGGCTATACCTTGGACTTCTATGCTTTTTCATCATTCTCTTTACCGCTGTTCTTGATTTGTTTCTGTATCTCTATTGTTTCTGAGAACTATACCTCTGTTCTTGAATCTGAAACTTCGTATTTGTTTTCTCTTTTTTGTATCTGCCCCAGATCTGTGCCCTCGATCTTTATCTTCATACCTTATAGATTTGGGATTTGTCTGTAGAACCCTTAATCTTTAGGGAAACCTGAAAAACGCCCATCTTCTGAAACATATTCCTCTTAGTTTAAGCCGACATAATGGGTATGTGGAGGCATAGGGTAAATACCCCAACAAAACTTGAATACTTTAGGCAAGAATTCTCTATCCCAGCCGACGTTCATCTTAAATTGGCTGGGGATAATGATACCATCGTGCCCACAGACCATACAATGCCTTTTCCAATAGTTGCTTTTACCGAATGTGGACTTCGGCTTCCACTTGATCCCCTTTTTACCTTTGGATCTATAATGCTTAGTAACCAGCTGGAGAGCACAGGCAGAATAGATGGCTTCAGCAACCTGTAACAGAAAGAAAAGGCTCCGGCGGTGGTTCTTCCACCCGGGGGCACTCCGACGATCAAGTCAGTATATCTCTCAAAGATAATCAAGTGCAAAACTTAATACTCAAAACATAAATTGCATACCTTAGACCCACGGGGGTGCCTCTCTTTTATAATATACTCAACCCAAGTCCCACTAGAAGTATGACTTCTATGAACTCCAATTTAGTGCTTACTTTGGACTCTTTAAGAGATAAAGATAAACTCCCTTAAGAGTTTTATCTTGGTTAAGTCCCCTCTTTGTCTTAGGACTCTTGTCCCTTATCTGCTTATCTCGGATTCCGATATCTTCGGGGATAACCTCGGCAACTCCGAGATCATCTCGGCTTAACTATGACGACACGTGGCACCTCGGCTGACACGTCGGCGTCACCATGCCACGTGTTGGTGTGTAGAAAATACATCCCCACAAGTGTACTTATTTAGAACATCATCAAACAATTCCTAAGTTAAAAATGAGATGCAAAAAGATTTTAAAACAAAAAATTTCAGCTTATTTGATTTGAATTTTCAAAATTTACTTTTTAGAAAATTAAAATTTTTATTTTTTGTATTTTTTTTTCATTGATTTTTTTAAATATTTTAAGCAATTTTTTTAATTTTTAGATACACCTATCATAAATACACTTAAAAAATATAATATTTATAAAAAAAATCTTTAAAAAATTCATTAAATACCAAAAAAAAAATAGAATTCAGTATATTTTTTTATATTCGGGTGTATTTATTGATTTTTTAAAATATTTTTCTACAAATATTTTATTTTTTAAATATATCTAAATAAGGTACATCTAAAACAGATTAAAAATTATTTAAAATTTAAAAAATATTCACTAAAAAAAATATTCAATTTTTAAAAAATTAAAATCAGACATACTGAATAATTTTTATTTTTTTTATGAAAAAACAAAACAAAGAATTAACTTACTTTTATTTTTATTTTAAAACTAAAAATTGAATAAAAAAATGGAGCTTCGTTGGAGTTGATCTAACAATGACACAGCCCACGACCCCACCTACTGGTCAGACCATCTCTTCTTCACATCACAGCTACAATTTGCAGATTCGAGATCACCATGAAGAACGTCTGGTAGACAAAGCTTCTCCCCAAAAAACCCTTCTCTGTCTATCTCTCTCTCTCTGTCTCTCTCAACTCAATTGATTATAGTTTTACGCTGTTTACCTTTTGTTCTCACTATCGCTTCAATGGGGTCCGATTTGGACTCCTCAACGTCCTCCGACGATCCCATACACGAAAGCCCTAATTCTACTTCAATCGATCAGTCCCTCGACGCCATCGAAGATCAATTAGCCTCAATCGCATTGACCCAACCGAACGGCGTTGCAGCCGACGATGAATCGTCCGAGCAAGAAGTTTTCAAGGACGCCCCAAATGGGCTGCCTTTGGATGAGGACAGTAATCAGCAGGAGAGCAAGGGAGGTGAAATCGGAGAGGAGGGTTTTGGGAATTCAGTGCCTGAACCGTCTTCTGTGGAGTTTGAAGTTGTGGAGGAGGTTCGGGAGAGCTCGTCGAGTGGTGTTTTTGCGTGGAGGAGGACCAATTCGGAGCTCGAAGTTGAGCGGCAGGAGAGCCCAAGCAGTAGTGGGTATGCTGGTGAGAGAGGGAGTAGCAGTAGCACCAGTGTGTCTGAGATTGAGGAGGTGGGTGAAGATCAAATTTGTGAAGTTGGGAAGGATGATTCTGTTGATGGGGGTTCGGATTGGGTTCCGGGGAAGCGGCATCTCGATGAAGTAAGTCAAAAACATGTTAATTGTAGTTGAATTGAACTTGTTCTGCCATTTTTTTTTTTCCAATGTGAAAAAAAAAAAAAAAAAAAAAAAAAAAAAAAAAAAAAAAAAAAAAAAAAATAGGAGATAAGAAAAGAAAAAGAAAAAAAGGATGAATATTTGTTCTTGAACCAATTGGGTATTGTGCAGAATTATATTGTTTGCCTAATGTGGGGTTGCCTATGGATTGTCTAGTTGTAAATCAAGGTATCCGAGAGGGAAGCATTTAAAATAATGAATTTTAATTTTGAATTATGGCCATGTAAGAAGGTATACGAGAATGTCTTATGCTGTCCACAAAATGTTGGTGTTTTTGACATGTGTCCATGACAAATATGATGATTTGCAGAAGAGTTTGTGCTTTTTAGATGATGCGAAATAAATATTTTGTTACATACACAAGTAGCATTAAGTTCAAAACAACTCAATTTTTGAGATGTGAATAAATTTCTTTGAACTTTTAGTCATTTGGGATACAAGTACCAAATTGATGAAGGGAATTCGGTAACAAAGAGCTAAGCCAGGTGGAGGCACTTGATATCATATACCTAACACATTAAAATATAAACCGTCACACATAAACTTTCATGGGACACTTAGTCACATTGAAAGATCTACCAATATCACAGAGTTCAGTAACACCTTTGTTAGGATCAAGTGCTTGCCATCTCACCGAAACCAACAAGTAATGGTGATGGTGCAACTTTACTTCCTTATACTTGGCAGCGCAGAAGAGCCCCACACTAAGTGGTAGGTGGGCATGAGGGGCTGCCCCATAAGTGCCAATGGGATGGACTGTCAAGCACCAATGCCACACCCATATGTAAGAGCGAGTCCATAAGGTGATTGTTGGCCCCATAACCAACACCTTTGGTCTCTCTGCTTAGAGAGTAAGGCCTGGGCCTGCTAAATGACTCAACAACACAACCATGGGAATTGGGGGGTCATCCTGACACTTCATGTTGTGGATCTAGTTGTCTTAGGCCAATCTAATTGAAATGCAAAAATTTTCATAATCAGGTATCTTTTGGAACTTTCTATGCCGTGGGATGTTTTATAAAAAAATTACGGAAGTTTGATTCCTTGGTTCACTAAGATAGGTTTCTCATGAAAAGTAAACATTTTAAGTGATGTAGGGAAGCGTGCAAAAGCAGAATTGGCACAATGAGATCATTAAACAAAATAGTGTAATATTTTGTTCAGTCTAGGAGCACCCATAATATAGAACACTCAAATAAGAGAAATTTTTCTCTAGAATTTTATTAATAATCAAAATTCACTGTGTCTTTGAATAGTTCTCTACAAACACTATAAATGTATATGGGTGTAAGAAAACGTAGAGAATTTAGGAAACAAAATCTTGTTGATTCTAATCAAAATCGTCAACCAGTGTTCAAACTAAAGGAAATCATGTTTGAATGATGAACAATTTGTAAAACAAACTTAGCTTCAGAACACACTGCATTCAAATGAACTAGTCACGTTCGAGTGATGAATTATTCTTTTTATTATTATTTTTTGGGGGCTGGGGGGGGAGATGTTTCTCGAGTATTTCCTTTCTTTTGTTTCGATCAAGATGCCTTCTATGTTAGCATTTAATAGGAGTTCCAAAAGCTAGGTCTAAGGCTCTTAAAGCTAATTACTTTCTTGCACACTTTTTATAACTTTGTCATTGATAAGCATACTTGTTTGCAAATTTTTGCTCTAATCCTTTAGTTAAATTATTTTTGTTTCAGTCATTGAATCTGAACCAGTGATCAATTAAGTAGTAAACTTGACTCGTGCTTATTCATTTCTCAAATGTATTATTTTCGTTCAAATACCTGGTTCATCTCATATTTGGTTTACTTCTATAATCATTGTTGACTGTGAAAATATTGGTCAAAGTGGAAGAATGATTCCTATAAAATGATATTATTGAATTTGTGACACCTATGATATTATACCCTGTTGATCAATAAGTGAAGTGCAGGATGATGCTTCTGTTTCATGGAGGAAAAGGAAGAAGCACTTCTTTATTTTGAGTAACTCTGGCAAACCAATATATTCCAGGTGTGTATATGGTGGCTGTAAATTTCAGCAGTATTTTTCTTGATGCATACTGGTAGGAATTTTTTTACCCTTTTTTTGGTGTTTCTCAGCTATACATATATATATATATATATATTGTGTATGATATTCCTTTTTTCTTTTTATAAAAAAATTTAACTTAAAGATACGGAGATGAACACAAGTTAGCGGGATTTTCAGCTACTCTGCAAGCAATCATTTCCTTCGTGGAGAATGGGTACGGCAATACTACTAGTCGTTTGGCTATTTTTTTATGGTTACTCTTCTTGAATATAAGCTTATTTTCGCTAATATTTTTTATGAAGCAATTCTGAAGAGGAGTTTCAATGGTTTTGTTCATTGATCTATTTTCAGGGGCGATCGTGTGAAATTGGTAAGGGCAGGCAAACACCAGGTCAGCTTCTTTACTTATTCAGCAGGCTTGAACTATTTGTTATTTCACTTACTAAATGTGGTTTAGTAACCTTTTGCCTTTTAGGTGAATTGAAACTTCTTTCTAGCATGATAAAAATCCTTCAGTGGGATAAGAAACTTGTGAGGATCAACGAACCTGAGTGTTGGTGTAAAATGCTAGTCCTAAATTTGTTTTCGTTATCTTTAGTGCTTGGAATGTTTGCTAAGGAGCTTTAGATTTGATACAATTTCCAAATAAAAAAACAGAAATCTTAGACATTGTATTTTTGTGCTTGTGCATGTGCGTGCATGCATGCATGATGATAGATAGTATCCAAAATAGCAAATGACTGGAGAAAGAATTGTCGAATGTATATATAAAGTCATAAAATGCTTCTAATTTAATGAAGAATATGTTTTAGAATTTTCTGAGTTTTGAAGCTTTCTTCCTCCGATTGTGTGATTCTTTTGGGAATCTAGGTCTGATGTCTCTATCTAGGGGTGGTTCCTAGAACTTTATTATCCTTCTGCTGATTTTTATGCACTTTTAACCTCTAAACCCACGTGACCAGGTCTGTATTAACCCTTGTTCAACCCTCAAGCACCTAGTTTCTCAACCCTAGTACAAGAGCTTGCAAATGAATACAAATTATCCTGGGTTACTGTTCACAGGTATTGTTCACAGCACCTAGAATAGTTCCCCCAAACTGCCATATAAATTCTCTTTGTACTCTCAAACTTCTACACTTTTGTTATCCCATACCATACTAACCTTCACAACCCTATCTGTTTACTAAACATCCAACCGCAAAAAAAAACATCTAACATCAGCCTCAATACCCTACCTTTTTTGCTAATTCTATGGCACCATTTGGCATGGGCTAAAAAAAAGCTTCTTTTTGAAGCAAATGACTGTTTGTCTTGAGCTAAACAAGCATCTAAAAAAGATAAAAAAAAAGCTGACTTCCCACTAACAAAATAACAACTTTTTTTTAGCAATTACCATACGCATAAGCTTTTTTAAATTCTATTATGAAAAAACCAAAAAGCAAAAAAACATCTAATAATTGCCAAACTCCACCTATAATTGAGTTTGGGCTCACCACTAGCCGGATAATTCCGAACTCATTGTACATCAGTTTGGTATCAAAGTGAGATCATAATTTTTTTTTTTTTAATTTTTTAATTTTTTTTTATGTCTGCATTTCGAGAAGAGTTTCTTTATTAAATTCTTTAGCAGATTGGTAGTTTTGATGTTCTGCTTATTGGTTTGGAGAGCCAACCAGCTCAACATGCGGTGATGAACAATCTAATTATCAAGGGTAAAAATCAAGGTATAAAGTGTTCAACGAATGAATCAACAATATCTCAAAATACCCACAACACTTAAATAAAATATAATTAAAACTCTTACATTAAATAAACCTAAAAGTAGACATAATAAGACTTATTGATATTAAAACTCAACTATACGAGTCCCAAGTAAGCCCCAACTTGAAATTAACAATGACCTTCCAAATTTTGCCATCTCTTTGTATTTACTCTTTCTTGAGTTCTTTGTGGTTTGCATCATTATCAAAACTCAATCATATTGTTGTGCCTTTTGGAACTCTGAAAATCCGATATTTTACCATACATCCATCTTTTAACAACCATTTAAAATAATGTAACTAGATATATTAAGACTCATATTGACACTAAAGCTTAAATACACAAGTCCCAAGTGGGGCCCAACTTGAAATCAACGAGCTTCCAAATTTTGCCTTCTCTTTATTTTTACTTTTTCTTGAGTTCTTTATAGTTTGCATCAGACTTACAAGTAACTCAAAAGAAAATTAATGAATATTTATAATAGTTTAACAACTTACATTATGGCCTACAAATTCTAGATGGGAATTGAAAATCCCAAGAAGATATAGATTATCAATGAGAGTAACCATAAAATACTTAATGCTTCATCATAAGGTTAGGAGAGTTAATTTTTTTTTTTTTTTTAAAAAAAAAAAAAACTGTGTTTTTTTAAAGCATGGAGTATGAATCCACGTAATATAAGTAGTAGTTGATACTTCCGTTTTTATGTGTCTTTTTAATGGAATTAATGATGTGGTATTTGGCATCAATCATCATTTATTGACATCGTATTTGTGCACTTTCAGGTAATTTTTCTTGTGAAAGGACCAATCTACTTAGTTTGCATAAGCTGTACGGAGGAGCCTTATGAGTCATTAAGGGGGCAATTGGAGCTTGTTTATGGGCAGGTAGGCTTTTTGTCTTTCCATCAAAGTGTGTTCTCACATTTTTAGTGGCTTTTAAAGATGTAGTAGTTTCTTGCCTCACATTTTTCTCTCTAGTTATGTTCTAAGTTCCAGAATCTCTTTATTTAGTTGCTCTAGTTCCTCATTTTATTGATTGTGATATGAATGCAGATGATAGTTATTCTTACAAAGTCTGTAAACAGATGTTTCGAGAAGAATTCAAAGTTTGATATGACACCTTTGCTTGGAGGAACAGATGTTGTCTTCTCTTCTCTCATCCATTCTTTCAGTTGGTCTGTTATCTGCTCTCTTTTAGCCTGACTACTTTATAAAGATCACTTGGCAATCTTTTAGCAGTTGATTTCACGAGCTCCTTTTTCAACTTCATGGAGCAGTGATGTTGGATGTGGTTTTGGAAATACTTATAAAGTCTACATAGTTAGAGTTCCACTTCATATCCAAAACAGAAATCCACAAGAAATGTTATTTGCCTGATTGTTTTTTAATTTTTATTTATTTATTATTATTATTTTTTTTTTGTGTAGACATGTTATTTCCAAATATCTATTTTAGACAACACTTCTCATAAATAAATTGCAAGTTTTGGACTTTGAAGTTCCTAAAATGAGAAAGTGTAAAGGAGGGGAGATTAATATGTATAGATCCATATTTTTTTATTTTATCATTGAATCCTGCCGTTTGTTGTGTCCAAGTGATGGACACATGGGTCTTCCAAATGTCCAAAGTGTGACCAGTTTTGAAAGAATTAAAAAAATAATATGACATGTTTGGACACATTTGGGGGAGTGCTTGATGATTGTCGATGTGTGACACACACACAACGATATCTTAGAAGTGCTTGTGCTTCTTATGTGATTTTCATCTAATATAGATTGTTTCTTGATAAATGCAGCTCTATATTTTGTTGAATGATGTGTAATTTTCCTCACTCTGCCATTTTTAGTTTTATAACTTTTCTCTTGGATGATCTAACTGGCCCCATGAATATAATTAGACAATGGTCAGGAGATATTTGATTTTGTTATTTATTTCACTTTTTCAGCATAACTATAAAGTTTAAGATTTACTTCAGCCAGAGAAATTTAGCAGATTGCGAAAGTATAAGTATTTGTTTGTTTCTACTTGGTTAGTGCCACTAAGAGTTTGCTAATTTCTTGGTTTCAGGAACCCTGCCACTTTTCTTCATGCATACACGTGTCTTCCCCTTGCTTATGCGACAAGACAAGCTGCAGGTGCCATATTGCAAGATGTTGCTGATTCAGGTGTCCTGTTTGCAATATTAATGTGCAAACACAAGGTTTGTTGTTGTTCTTCTTCTCCTCCTCTCTCCCCCCTCATATTGGTCAGAACATTTCTAAACTGAAGCTCACAATGCAGGTTATCAGTCTTGTTGGTGCACAAAAAGCATCTCTTCATCCCGATGATATGCTCCTACTTTCCAATTTTGTTATGTCATCGGAATCATTTAGGCAAGTGCAATTAACTTCCTAATTTGAACATTTGGAAAATGCAACTTGATTAATAAACATGCAAAAATGATATGTTAAGAGCCTTCACTATTTGATGCTGGAGGAATTAAAACCATGGTATTACACTGTTACTGCAAATCTTCCCATTGAAAAGAGTTTCTTGAGAAAAGTGTGTTTATGATATCTTGTCTAATGGGGTTATTAGCAAACTTGTCACATGCCCTCTCATGGTTCTGCAAATAAGTTTGCTTCGTTGATGGTGAAAGAGTCGATATAATCCATTTTTGTAATGTCATGTTAGAATGATTTGACAAGCAACATCTTGTTTGGTTTTGGCCAATTCAAGGGAATTTTTTTTATTTTTTATTTTTACAGTAGATCTCGGATAAGTTGGAAGGAAAACAAAAATAATTGTTACAGGAGAATAATAAACAAAACAACAGATCCATAATATGGATTAAAAAAAAAATGCCTGATCTATCTAGTACAGAAAATAGAGAAGAAAAAAAATGTGATCGTATAAAATATCTCATTCAACCCGAAATTCACACATTCAGATATGATCCAATGAAACACACTTTTGTTACCATGGGTGATATACTATATCAATCTGTTCTGAGTGATGGGACTCTTCATTTTAATTCTACCATTTGGCTTATTGGCATTTCCTTAAAGAATGGACTATACAATGATTTAAAGATTTGACTACTGCTCATTTGTGTGAATTTATTGAAGGACTTGATACTGTAACTCCAATCCATAGAATGGCATCGACATAAATCATTGACTCATTAATGTTTCTGTATGCTTAATACTAATGACCCAAAAGAATGCTATAAACAACCATAGTTACTCCGGTGAAGTCGAATTTGTTTTGTCCTTTGGGCGCTTTTTATGTTTGTGAAGCTTTAATAATCTTGATGTAATGGCTGTCTGCAGGACATCTGAATCTTTCTCACCAATTTGCCTGCCAAGATATAATCCCATGGCATTTTTGTATGCTTATGTCCATTATCTTGATGTGAGTGAGGCTTAGATTCAAAATATTATTTCTCTTGCCAATTCCATTGCATAATTAACTGGAATGTGGTTACTGATTGCAGTTCATCTCGAAGCTTCAGAAATTGCTTGATTTTGATACTCCAGTTACATTAAACAGACATTTTCTTGTATATTATGTTTTCCAAATTTTTGATCGTTCAACAAATGACATGAATTATACTTTCTGTGCCAGGTTGATACATACTTAATGTTGCTTACTACCAGTTCAGATGCCTTTTTTCATCTTAAAGATTGCAGGTAAATTATGTTTCCTTGCTTGATGTATTGGGAACATTTAGATTATGGTGTTACAATTTCTTATTTGAAATTGCCATACAAATTTGGCATGAAGGAAGGTGAAAGCTACATTTCTATCGAAATGTTACTGACTAATTTTTTTGTATGCACCAAAAAAATAAAATATAATCCTTAGGGCTCTGCTTAGGAATGAATTTGTTTCTTCTTCTCACTCTTTAGTGTGTTTAATGAGTTTAAATCCATTATATAGGATTCGTATCGAAATGGTCCTTTTGAAGTCAAATGTTCTCAGTGAAGTTCAGAAATCCATGCTAGATGGCGGCATGCGTGTTGAGGATTTGCCTGTTGATCCATCTCCTCGTTCTGGATATTCATCTGCTCATTTAGGTCAGCCCAGACTTGCAACAGATTCTCCTGAGAGATTCCGGGAAGCATTTGTTGGTATTGGTGGTCCTGCTGGACTTTGGAATTTCATATATCGTAGTATTTACTTGGACCAATATGTATCTTCTGAGTTCTCTTCGCCAATCAGTAGTTCGCGACAGCAGAAAAGGTAACACTGCTAAATACTATTGCAGCAATTTATGCAGACATGTTATGGCTGTCTTCAACTGGGGAGGTAGTTATTGCTGTCAGTAGGATAACTAGATTATTGTGTTGCAGATTGTATAGAGCTTACCAAAAACTTTATGCCTCCATGCATGAGGAAGGAGTTGGACCCCACAAAACTCAGTTTAGAAGAGATGAGAACTATGGTAAGAAGTCCTTATTCTAATTTTTTTGTCTCTTTTGCATTGTGTAACTTTTAAGTTATTGTTGCATGGATAGATAGAATCATAGTCCTTCCTTTATGCTGCAGAAACCATAGTATTTAAGTGTGGACGTTTGTATGAAACCTGAGGGTTGATGGTTGACAGTTAGTGTAGAACATAATGGAAGAACCAGTAAGGAAAGTACTAAGCAGCTGGAACCATGCTTACTCGTAAATTTATTTTCTTGTCTCAACTCTAAGATGATTTATGGTCAAACTTTTAATTTTTGGTTTCCATTTTGATTGACTGAAATGTTGAATTAAAAGTGGAATATTTTCACGTAATGGAAAGTAAAATATTTTGGATAAAATAGGCTTGTTAAAAAAGAAAGAAAATATCTTGGATGAAATCAGCAAACTTACTGGAACTGAATTAAAGTAGAGGTGCAGTGAAGAGGAATACTTGCATCATGTAGTGTAGTATGGTTTGACAAGAAGAGGAATACTTGCACCATATGGTGAAATATGGTTCAAGTTGTAGGAACCGTCTCTATGACAGAACAAAGCCTCTTTTTTTTATGTAGGAACTTTTTACCTTGGTTCTAGTATTTAGTTTTTCAATTTCCTGCAATGAAATATTCATGATCATCTTTTAAGATTTTATTGATCCTTTTTGCATGGCAGTTTTACTATGCTGGGTCACCCAGGACTTTGAACTCTATGCTGCATTTGATCCCCTGGCACACAAGGTTTGACTTTTGCTGATACATTGAGTGTTGTCATATTGCACCCGATATCTTGATATTGGACATATATATAATTGAACCGTTTATATTGTGATTATATGCAATCTCTCGTATAGGCACATCTAGTATAAACGGTCATTTTCTATGAGCGCTTGCATGTCATTTCATGCTGTCAAATGCCTGCTAGATTGCTCTCTAGTGGATTTCTTCCTTTGACCACATAAAAGTATTCTTTGAGAAGTTGAATTTTATTTTTATGATCAATAATTGATTATCTGGATGAGCAGGGAAATAATCATTTTGGTTTACCAAAAGGTGAAATGGGTCATTGGAAAACATTTGATGTCACAAATTTATTTATTTTTTCAAGTGGGAAAAGCAATAAAAAAAAATGTGTAAATTTTGTTTCTTATTCTTTATGAAACTTAGTAATTTTGTTACTTGGAATGTGGATTGTTTTGGTAAAGTGGAACTACAATGGGAATGGAAATGGAAATAGGAACTGTGGTATGTCACGTGTATGATAGGGGTAAACTTGTATAGAATATAAATTACACTATCAAATTTAAAGTACTAGAGAATTTTTTTTTTAAACAATTAGATTCTTAAAAGAATTAATTTTATAAAGGCCTATTTCTAGTAGCATTACTATCCATTTTTTAATTCTGTCCTACCAAACTTTACACTTCCTAGATTTAGTTCATTATATTTTACTTTGTTTTCTTTTTGTCTTTCAATGAATCCCAATCTATGTTTGGATCATGGATTTGTGTAGAGAGAGGAATTGAAAAGGGGATGAAAATGAAGTGAAATATCTTTCATTTTCATTTTGAGAAATCCAAGATCCAATCATAGCATTAAAGAAATAAATAGGGAGAATTTTTTAAATCTCTTTTGACTGCTATAATCATTTTGAAATGAAAGTGCACCATCTTTGGAAATGTGTATTCAAAACCATAAACCGAATAGGGTATTAGTATTTTTTGATAAATACTGTTTTGTAAAGTGGGCTAGCATAGCAAGCTTGCAGGTCATAATAGGGAGTAAGTTGGATTAATTTATTGCAATTACCTCTTCTATGTTTGTGTAATTGAGTTTTGGTGTGTTTGAACTTGCAGGCTTTGGCAATAAAGACTTGCAACCGGGTGTGTCAATGGGTGAAAGATGTGGAAAATGAAATCTTCTTGTTGGGAGCCAGCCCCTTTTCATGGTGATTCTCCCCCAAAATATATCTTGTAACACAGTTTGTATTCTATTTTTTTTTTTTTTTGTAATCCATTCTATTTTGCATGGATGTGATTTTGCCTTCGTACACAGTGACCATATTTAAGTAATCCCACTTTTTATTTTTAGAAACAATCAACATTAGTAGTAAGCTATGATGTACGGATACTTCAAATAGGGTGACGTATCCGTATCATATCTGTATCGGATACTGATACTCTTTGGATACTCCCGAATACGTATCGGATACTTATTAAAAGTATCGGATACTTCTTAATTATTTTTTATTAATTTTAGAGTATTGGATACTTAATTTTGAAGTATCGGATACTTAATTTTGAAGTATCGGATACTCCAAGTCATGTTTAATTGTTTTATGAAATTAGAATTGTAACATTTCTAGCATAGTAATATAATATAATATAATATAATATAATTGCAAGTATAAATATGAGAATATTTTTCTAATAATTTGTCAAGTTCTTCGATAAGAAGAGCATAGTGGGTTAAATAATAGAATTTATCAAATTGATATATCCTAATTATTTCATGCATGTTCCCTATAACTACATAGAAAGTAAGAATTAACAAGAGAATATAACAATGATAAAATTAAATATCAATAAATAAATAAGCAAGTAAACTTGAATATAATATTTTTTACTAGTGTCAAAAGAAAAAGCATAGGGACAAGTTGTGAATTATTCTATTATTGTAATATAAATATATTAAACTTGATATTGAAACGAAATATTTGCAAGGCTTATTAAAAATTTAAAAAGTAAACAAGTCACTAGCTTAAATTAATATAAAATTTTTAAATGTTAGTATTTTGCATTATAAAATTACATTGTAGTTTCTCAACATTCTTTAACTTATGTGTAATTCACTCTTAATAATTTTAAAAAATATATTTTTCACAAAAGTGTCTTACCCGTATCGGTACTCTATTTTTTTAGGTTTTGTTGTATCGTCTTATTCGTATCGTGTTGTATTCGTGTCTCGTATCTATGTCTATGCTTCTTAGGTAATAAGGTTCATTAAATGATGAGGTTAATTTCATGTAATGCGACACATCGGAATGGCGTAATTTATTGATTCGTTTCAAATTTCAAATCACTATAGAATGTACCCTTTTGTATGTAGTGAATGCAAAATTGGTTGTGCCAACTGCATATTGGAACTCCTATTAGAACTTAGTATTGTTGAATTTTGTGTACAATTTTTTAGAGCCAAATTCGTACTGATTTTGATTGCTTCCATGTTTTTGAATTCAAAATCAATTAATTATTTTTTAGAATTGAACCGAACCAAACCAAATCAACACAAGTATAGATTATGTACTTACATAAATTTAAAAATATAATAATTTGAGAAAATCACAGTGAATTGTGTGCTTTTTTTATTTTTTTGTTTTAGGTTTCAATGTCCTCGTGTGTAGCTATTTTTTTAATTTCTTTTTTTGGTCATTATAATTAGTCAAATTTGGATCAAAATTGGATATTACAAAAGTTGTTCCCCACTCGTGTTTGTCCACGATAGTGAAATACTTCATCACATCCCTCTATATTTTCCATTGTGCCCTCAAACTTTAGTTAGTGTTCATATTCCTTGCGTACTTGAAAAGGACATTTTTGTAATTTAACTTCGTCAATGTTGTATGTTCCACGGTCTTATGGGTTGGATGTGATGTTTTGTTTGTTGTGGCTAAAATAGCCTGTTTTGTCTTTTGTGACTATTTTAGCCCCAACCCAACTTGCCAAACACCACCTTAGTGTTCATATTCCTTGCGTACTTGAAAAGGACATTTTTGTAATTTAACTTCGTCAATGTTGTATGTTCCACGGTCCTCTGACTAGGACAGCGTTAGTCAAAATGGATCATTTTTTTCACACTTCTAAAACATAACTTTCTAATTGATTTAAAATAATCGACTTAGCATCTAAAATATATATTGACTTCACACTCAAAATCGAATGTTATGTTTATTATTTGATTTGATTATTTTTATTTATTATTTAATGCAACACATTTTATTACTATTAATACAATAAAACTTACATTATAGCACTGAAAAAAATATAGAATCAATATTTTTACAATCAAAATTATGAATTAATTATTTTAAACAATTAAATGGCTTGTTCATACACGAACTCGGATTCAAGAGGAATTTAAATTTGTCAAGACTGAACAAAACACAGGATATGACCAAATTTGGAGGTTCTAAATCCAAAACGAATATTTAACCCAACTTTTTTAAACACAATATTTAACCCAACTTGAAATTGTTAATTTATTATTCTATATTAATCAAATTTTGTACTTTGTTCCATATGGTGGATAGAATTGAACTCTCAACTCCTCAAAAAAGGGTACTCCCACAATGAGCCACCAATAAACTCTTGCCACGTCGTTTTCACTTCCTTGGGACCATATTTGCATGTGGCCATAATTGCAATCACGTGATCAATTTAATGATTTTTAAGTTATTTTAGGAAGAGCCTTCTCTTCGTCTTTAATCGGATTAAAAAGATGTTATTGAATTTATTGGATTTATTATAATTCAAATTATTTATATTTTAGAATTTATCAAGTATATTATTTTTGTAAAAATTTAAGTCAATCGAATAATGATAATTATATATTTGGATTAGTTCTTTATGAACCATTTATCATACAAAATTAATCCAAACACGTGATCACTATTATTCAATCGACTTGTTTTTTACAAGAATGATGTACTTAAAAAAATTTAAAAAATAAACAATTCAGATCATCAAAATAGAACTCGAAAAGTGAGCCCCATAAGCTTAACATTGCCTCTCCAATCCAATTAAATTAAAGATTGGTGACACATTAATTTTTAATAATATTAAAAATACTAATAAAAGTATTAATTAAACAATTTTGTCACCGTTTACCTTAAAAGTAGATGTTCAGAAAATTTAAAAAATTATACGTTCTTTATGACCATACTAGTAATAAATAATGTTTAATTTTTTAAAAATATCTTAAAATGTGTTTTAAAAACATACATTAATAAGATCCCTAATTAAATACATTGTTAAGTGAATTTGGCTGACAAAATTTATTCTAGTTTTTTGGTTTTAATTAATATTTTTTTTTCTAATTTTAACATTAGATTCTGAATTAATAATATAAATTTTGAATTTTTTAATGATTACCTCACATTTATTTTTATAAATGGATGACTTTTTCTATTTTCTAAAAAAAATATTATTTGTTTGAATTTTCAAATTTTGTTTTTAGAGATTTTTTCAACAATTTAGATATTAATTTATTACAAATAAAGATCAAAAAATATATTTTAAAAATTTTTTTCCCCAAAAAGAGAAAATCATATAAAAGTAATTTTTTTCACCAAACTATTTTTTGAAAACTCAAACCAAAATATCATCTTTTTTTTCTTTTAAATTTGTAAGCATTAAATATTAGGGCAATGATTGGTGGCCACAAAATTTTGTGACTCAAATGGCTCGAAAATGTCAAAATGACGTCGTTTTTGCATTTTTAGGCCATTTGAGCCACAGAATTTGTGGCCACCAATATAAAAGTAATTTTTTTCACCAAACTATTTTTTGAAAACTCAAACCAAAATATCATCTTTTTTTTCTTTTAAATTTGTAAGCATTAAATATTAGGGCAATGATTGGTGGCCACAAATTTTGTGGTTCAAATGGCCCGAAAATGTCAAAACGACGTCGTTTTTGGTACAAAACAACTTCAAAAATGCCAAAACGATGCCGCTTTTGCATTTTTAGGCCATTTGAGCCACAGAATTTGTGGCTACCAAATATTTTCCTAAATATTGGAGACACATTAATTTTTAATAATATTAAAAATACTAATAAAAGTATTAATTAAACAATTTTGTCACCGTTTACCTTAAAAGTAGACTAGCCTATCACCCGTGCTATGCACGGGATAATTATAGATATTTATATTTGTTTTAGATTTTTTTTAATATATAAATTATGTTTTTTAAGATTTTTTATAAAAATAATTTAACAATCTTATCACTAACCATAGTATATGAAAAAAGTTGAAAAGGGTACTGCAGTAACTATACACAGATTGTATCTATAATTATTTGTATGAGGGGATTTTAAATGTTGATCAGGAGATTTTGACTAAGTCAATAAATGCAGGCATGTGGATTGAAAAAAGTTAATAAATGCTGATCAGGAGATTTTGACCAAATCAATAAATGCTGAGTTTTTTTTTTTTCATAAAAAAATTTAGAAAATTCAGATTGGGATATTAAAGCTCCCACAGGCCTTGGGGTTAAAAACCCCATTTTCTTTAAAAGCCTCCTTGAGTGTTTATGTTTATCTAACTTCAATCATATTAAAAAATTAAATTATAAACAAAATGAGATAACTTCAATCATACAAATCACATTTTTTTCATAATAAAAAAATAATTCAAAAAAAGGACCATTAAAATAGTAAATAAAAAGATTATTTAGTAGCATTGAGCAAACGACAATCACATTTTTTTTTGTGAGTGTTTATGTTTATGTAACTTCAATCATATTAAAAAAATCAAATTATAAACAAAAGGAGATAACTTCAATCATACAAATCACAATTTTTTTAATGCTATCTAACTACAATCATATTTTTCTCATAATAAAAAAATAATAATTGAAAAAAAGAACAATTAAAGTAGTAAATAGAAATATTATTTATAGCCATTGAACAAACTACAATCACATTTTTCTTTTTATGAGTTAACTTCAATCATATTAAAAAATAAAATTATAAACAAAATGAGATAACTTCAATCATACAAATCACAATTTTTTTAATGCTATCTAATCATCATCAATAATTAAAAAAATCAAACACAAATTAAGTCAATTGATAATTAAAAAACACAATAATTTATTTTTCAAAAAACATAATGAGTTAAAAAGATCAATTATAATTTTTTTGGGTCAAAATACAATCTAATCATCATCAATAATGAGTATATTATGTGACCCTAATGAGTACAATTTATTTTGTTTTTCAAAAAACACAGTGAGTTAAAAATCAAATCACAAATTAAGTGAATTGATAATTAAAAAAAACAATAATTTTTTTTCAAAAAACACAGTGAGTTAAAAAAATTAATTACAATTTTTTTTTCAAAATACAATCTAATCATTATCAATAATTTGTACTTTAAAAATCAAATCAGAAAAAAATCAAATCAAATCACAAATATTTTTTTCATAAATAATTGTAAAGAAAAACCATTAAAGCAGTAAAAGATTAAATCAT